TTCTTATAATTACAGGCAAACATTGATATATGTTCTTGAATTGTAGGTATACCCGTGTCTTTGTGGAGAATCCATGTTGGCGTGTAGTGAGGAGCGTTTAATATTTGCCGCAGGAATTTGTTTTGTGCTCGTTGTATTATGTTTAAATTGCTCTTTTTAGCAGTACCCCAAAGTTGTAATCCGTAGGTCCACACGGGTTTGATCACAGCCTTATATATAAGTAATTTGTTGTAAGTTGATAATTCTGATTTTCTGTTTAAGAGCCAATAATAATTTTTGAAGATTAGATCTATTTGTTGTTTTTTGTTCTTTATGTGTACTTTCCAGTTGAGTTTCCTATCTAAGTGAATGCCGAGATACTTTATTGATTCTTTGGACGGAATAATTTCATCGTTGAGTACAACTGCTGGGCAAGTTTGGGTGCGAAGCGTGAAAGTTATATGGACTGATTTTGTGCTATTTACTTCTATCCTCCACAACGAAAACCATTTCTCAGCTAAGCTGAGATGGTGCTGAAGGCTGTTGGAAGCTGCAGTCGGATCTTTGTTTGTGGCGATGATGCACGTATCATCAGCAAATGTGGCTAAACTCGTGTCAGTTGAAGTTGGAAAATCAGCTGTAAAAATTAAAAATAGTGTTGGGGCGAGGACACTCCCTTGAGGCACTCCAGAATTAATTTCGGTAATATTTGAGTCCGTATCGGCGATGCTGACAAAAAAGTTTCTATTTTGTAAATAGATTTTATTAATAGGAATAAAGAATCTGGTAAACATCTTTTAACTTTATACATTAATCCGGTATGCCATACTTTGTCAAATGCCTGCTTGAGATCCAAAAAAGCCGCAGAACAGTACTCTTTATTATGCAGCGCATTGTTAATTACGTTTATTATTCTGTGAACTTGCTCAATTGTTGAATGTTTGTCGCGAAACCCAAATTGATGGTTCGGAATAAAACTTTGTTCTTGTAGGATTATTTTAATCCGTTGAAGAATTAGCTTTTCAAATATTTTCGATATGCAAGACAATAAACTTATCGGCCGGTAGGAAGATAATAGATAAGGGTCTTTACCTGGTTTCACTATAAGGATTATTTTAGCTCTTTTCCAAGACTGCGGAAAAGTTTTCATTCTCAGTATAGAGTTTATATTATTGTGAGCATTCTAATAGCTTTTCTTGGAAGTTCTTTAAGCATTTTAATAGAAATCCGGTCTGGTCCAGGTGATTTTCTAGAATTTGCTTTTGCAATTTCTTGGGTTACTTCAGCCGCAGTAAAACGATTAACATCATGAGTCACTAGCGACGGTGAATCCTGAAGAAAATCATAAATGAATTGTTCATCATTAGAGTTGCATTTACGTGAAAATGGCTGAAATGTGAGGCGCAGGTGTTCGGCGAATGCATTAGTTTTTTCTTCTGGACTTCTTGCCCATGAACCGTCTGTTTTTCTTAAAGGAGGAATTGGTACAATTGGTCTTTTCAATTTTTTGGTTGCTTTCCAAAGAGAATAATTTGTTTCACTACTTGCAGAAAGATTATGTAAGTAGTTTTCAAAAGAAACATTTTTATAATTTATTATTAAATTTTTCAGGTCTCTGCATGCACTGTTAAATTTTCTTTTATCTTCCGGTGATCTAGTTATTTGCCAAATTCTTCTTAATTTCCTTTTCTGTGCAATGATTTTTTTAATATCTATGGGCACAGAGTGACTGTGATTGTGATTTAGAATAGGAGTCGATATTTTAGCTGCTGCAATTAATGTATTTGTGAAGTTGTTGATACCGATATTCAAATCATTCTCACTTTTTAATGGAATATTACAGTTAATGGTGTCTTCGATGTATTCTTGGAAAAGAAGCCAATCGGTAAATTTGTTTGTAAGCGAACTCATGACTTTGGTTGGAGTATTAGTGGAGTATTTAAGAATTACTGGTGAATGATCAGAACTGAGATCCAGACTTGAAATTATTTCAACACTCTCGTTTTTAATATTTTTGGCTACAAAAAAATCGAGGAGGTCTGGAATTTTGTTCAAATCAGTTGGCCAGTATGTGGGCTCACCCGTAGAAAATGTCCGAAGATTATTATTATTTATTGTATTATACAATTGACGGCCTCTAGGTGTTATTAGTCTAGATCCCCAAAATGTGTGCTTTGCGTTATAATCACCTCCCGCAATAAACAAATTTCCAAGGCTGGTAAAAAAAGTTGTAAACTGATTTTCAGTAATAATGTGCCTTGGCGGACAATAGATTGCCGATACTGTAATTTTGTGAGTCATTAGGTCAATTAAAACATTTGTCGATTGTATGTAGTCAGTATGAAAAGGTTCTGTCTCGTAATGTCTTATGTTTGACTTTATGATAATGGCAGTGCCACCGTGAGGTCTGTCGTCCGGGTGATTTGTGGTATATGTGTGATAATTAGGAAAACGAATATTGTGATTTGTCTCGGTAAAATGCGTCTCGGAAATTAGCATAATGTCTACGTCATTGGTAGTTAAAAATTGTTTGAGTTCATGGACATGATTGCTCAAGCCGTTCGAGTTCCATATGCAAATTGTTAGTTGCATAGACATAATTATTTTTTATTAGATAAAATTGTTGTTAGTAAATTAAGCATTATGCCCATTTGTTCTGTCAATATTTTAATCATGTTTTTAAGTTCTGTTAAGTCATTACATTTATTGTTAGTATTGTTTTCAGAGTTACTATTGTTTATTGAGTTCGTTGAGTCAGTAGGTAAAGTTGTGTTGTTTCTAGTAATATTGGAGTAAGTTACGCCCGGTCTTAAAGTAGCATTTGGTTTTAAATTTTGCACATTACTTGTTTTCTGACGTAATGAAGTGTTTTTTTTTTCAATATATTCTTTATAGACGTGACAGCCTTTATAGTTAGCAGGGTGATTTTCATTACAAAGGACACACTTCACTTGGTCGACCTTTTTTTCCCACTTGCATTTTTCTGTCAAGTGATCTTGAGCGCATTTAACGCATCTGGGGGTGCGGTGGCAATAATTTCTGGTATGACCATACCTTTGGCAGCGAGTGCACTGAACAATTTCTCTAGAGAACCTCTTTGCCTCTATTTCTACTTTAGTTTTATATAAAAAATCAATTTTATAAAAATCTTTATTATTAGGCTGTTGTTCAAGCTCAATTAAAAACATGTTCAGAGGGAATTTTGAGATTCTGCTTTTAATGTTCTCAATACGAACGACTTTGTGACCTAACTGTTGTATTTCATTTTTGAGCATATCTGTATCCGTGCTGAAATGTAGGTTTTTAACCACTATTTTGAACGTTCTTTTACATTTCTCCTGGAAAGAATGCATTTGAGTACCCCTCTCTTTCAGAAGTTTGAGAATTTTATTGTAAAGTTTAGCATTATCAAGATTAACTCTAACCCTAGTTTCGTCAATAACTTTTATTTGATAAAGATTTTTTGCTTCACATTCTAAGAGTTGAGCTAATGGTTTGATATCACGTACCTCATGTATAAAAATTGGCGGCGGTCTGTTAACTGGGCTGCATTTATCACTCGAGTCTTCGGTATTAGGATTAGCTAAAACTTCATATATATTGCTTGTGGGAGTTGGGTTTAGCCAGTAGTTCGAATTTGAAGATGTTTTTTTGCATGTTGATTCTTCATTTAAATTTCTTTTGAATTTTTTGTTTCTTACTTCAAACCATTCTGAATCCTTACTGGTGGTTGCTTCTTGATTAAATTCATTTAGGGAAATTGAGTCATTTTTCTGATGTAAAGAATCTTCTTCAACAATATCTGTATTAGACCTCTTATACTTGTTAGCACTCGTATAGACCTTTTTCGGTTTGACTGGGGAGCATTCTAAATCCATCTGATCGGTATCCGTATTTAAAATTTTTGACATTTTCAAGTAAAAGTTATTAATTCCCCCGTAGGGGAATATTTCTCTATTACGTACTCACACAGGAATGTTTCTATTCAAATTTTTAGACCAAAATCATAAAATTCCTGCAAGTTATTTGCAAATTTAATAAATTTAATATTTCTCAGTATTATGAATGTCACAATATTTTGGTTTTTTTATTCTAATTATTGGAATGCGTTTCTTTACTATTTAAAAAAAATACCATCTGTCCTTTCGAGTCAGACAGGAGGCAAACAGATCCAATGTCTTATTTTTAAATTTAAAAGGATTCTACAAAATAGTAGCTACAATATTCAACCAATGAGCACATTTTTATAAACATAACACTGTATACAACCTTGATGCAGTATTTCGTCAGAAATTTTCATCAGCAGCATTTTCATTAATTTAATTTATTTCTTGTATATTGCTTATTTTAACCTAATTACTTAATTTAATATTATGTTCTTTATCGATTCAAAACTGTAATTAATATGTAATTATATTGAAATAATTTTAAAGTATTTCAATGTGCTTTTTGTGTTTTCAAATAATTTGTGAAACAAAATTCAGTTTTCTCTCTGTTACTTATATGGATGCTTACTCAAAAAACTTATTACAAAATATTATAAAATTCATTATATATTATATTAAGTTTATATTGCTTCAATAAATGTGATTACCAAACATTTGCAATTTTTTGTTTTGTTGAAAATTGTTTTTATATTTTTAGGTTCGGTAATTTAATTTTGTTCATAATTGTGCAAAAACCGACATATTTCCTAAAATTTTATGAAATGAATATTTAATTAAAATTTGTAATTCTAAATGTGAGTTATAACTAAGTTAAAGGATTTCTTGGAAATGCATATTCTGCATTGTTTTCGAATTTTGATGAATTCTATTTATATATTATTTACATGTAATTGCTAAGTTAAGAGCTGAATTGGGCGAAATTCTAAAACGTTTGTCATTATTCCGATTAATATAATGAGAGCTTTATGTACTCACAATCAGAACTAAATAATAATGAGAGCTTTATGTACTTAGAACTAAAGATATTTAATATTTATCATATGAATTTAACTACATATTTATTTATTATTTTACCATTAACGGGTTTGACATCGCCGTTGCTCTGCAGGCTGGACGCACTCGTATTAGAATTCGGAGTCGTCGAAAGCCCAGAGCCTGGTGACCCGGGTTTCACATCCTTGATGGAACCCGAACCAGACCCTACGGATCCTGGCAGGTGACCACCCAGATGACTGGCGCCAACACCAGCCCCGCCGCTCGAAGATTTAATTTCTGTTTTGACGGATGTTTGCTGTTGCTGCGAATTCTGCTGCTGTTGCTGTGAATTTTGTTGCTGCTGCTGATGTTGCTGTGAGTGTTGTTTGGTTTGGTCGCCCGTTGATCCGTTGCTGCTGACTTTCTGTTGCGCTAGACGTTCTTGTTTCCTGAACTTTGCACGACGATTTTGAAACCAAACCTGGAAAATAATAGATGAATTAGTTTAAATTGAAATTGCACTAGAAAACGAACTTTTAAAATATTCCATTTCAACGTATTTAATTCTTCAATAAATAGCAACTTTTAAAACTGTGATGATGAAATTTTAAAATCTTGACCTTGACCATTATTCAAAATTTTAATTATTTTTTACAATTATACCTACTTCTGGTATACGCATAATATAATAATTTAGAACGTTTTTCAATACTATGAAATCAATCACCATAAAGAAATTTATGCTTTCAAAGCCGTTTTAAGACAACATTGACAAAAGGTCAAATTTTGGATCACATACCCACAAACACACATATTCCAATTTTGGTATCAAACAATTCTGAAAGACTTTGTAAGTCGGATATTCTGTCAAAAACAAACTTCATCAGGAAGTTAATAATATGAATACAAAATATTTTAATATAATATAATCGAATAATATAAAGTAGGACCAAGTAGCTGACTCTAGAAAATTTTTACTCTTAATATAACTAACTGTAGAATTATGTAGTATGTAAGTGAAAGGAACAGCTAACACAAATTATATGAATGGTTTACCCATTGCAAAGCATGTCAAATGTAAATGTTCCTGAAGCATATTAATGGTCATTGAAAGCATAATCTGAAACTAATTTCCTACTTAAATTGAATTGTAATATTTGAAAATCCAAGGTTTTGATTTTTTATTATGGAGCAAAATTCTGACAATCATTTTTAAACTATGTTGTAGCATAGTTAGCAAGTTGAGTCAGATTTCAAAAACTTTGTGGAAAAGTTTACAGCTTTGCCATAGGTTTGTATCGTATGTAGTTTCCTCTGAAAAACTGTTGAACCCTCAAATTTTAAAACTCAATTTCTATATTTTTTTGTTAAAATTGCTCTTTCTGCTTCTCATTTATGAACTTTTAATTAATATTGGAATAATATTTGAAAATCATCCTCTGTTGTAAAAAGCGTAGTTGGTGGTGTTATGGATACAGGTTCTAACATCATTTAGGTTTGTATTTTCATTATATAGAGTAGGGCGGGGCACAAAGGTCCAATTTGACTTTGAGCAATTATATTGTGAAAATCAAAACAAATAACACATGTCAAACAAACAACTATCTGACTATGTTCAGTAAAAATTCCAGATAATTCATCATTCTAGAAATGTGTTTTTTTGCTGTTTCTTTTTTTCAAAAAAACCTAATCCTCTTCATCCAATAGGTGGGGTAAATTAGGACAGCCAGGGACATACAGGTCTAATGCTTAGTTTTAATTTTGAAGGCTTTTTACAAAATAATAGCTATATTATTCAGCCTATGCAAAATATAAGAGCCCTGGGTGCATTTTTCATAGATATAACAATGTAGTTAAACTTGATCTGGTATTTCATCAAAAATTTTCATCAGCAGAGTTGGAATAACTACTTATTTAATTTTTCTCTTGTAAAATTAATTATTTTAATTTAAATTACCTTTTTATTTGCTATTTTTTATTTTTTACACATTTCCAGGGGTTAAGGTTTAGTTGGTCTCTTTTCTCCCACCCAGGTGTAAGCTTCTATATAGGTTATATAAAAACGGTTGATTTTAACTTAAAATTAACTATACATCTTATAAAACAATTAAATAACGTATACTTAAAAATTATATTAAAGTCGGGAAAACTAAGCAACAGTGCTCACTATCAAAACAAATAATAACGCATGAAAATACTTTTGTTATGGATTTTTAAACATTGTCATTTATCTATCTTAATATCAAGTAACAACTTCGTAAGAATCAAGATGGTGTCTGGTTATACATTTTTATCCCACTACTTTCAAATATTGTTGTTAAAAAATTATTAACTTTGGTTTGGTTTTCGAGATACGGTGGTGTATCCCGCTCTACCCTAGATGTTCTGTAAAAAATATTTATCTAAAATATGTTTCCCTGGAAAACCTCGCACAACAAACTTTTCCTGAATCAAATCAAGGGTTAACTTCGGCCAGAGTATGATGTTACCTGTACTACTATCGAGAAAAAACAATGTAAAATTCGTTCATCAAAAGTGTCAACTGTCGCTTGAAAATAATTTTGAAAAACGTTCAAAGCCACATGACTGAGCAAATTCATCGTCGTTCGTCGTTCGCTCGTAGCATCTGTGTACAGTAGGCGAGTGTACTCGTATAGCCAGCGGCCCTGATTAAAAGCATACATTGCAGCCAATCAAACAAACTCCACTGAACCATCAAATCATTGACGAGTTTCATTTTTCCCCGGCATAGTTATAATTGCATCACGTCTCTTAAAGTTTACAACATCGAAAATTAAACACTTTCCGCCATTCAAATAGAGACGCATTCTGAAATCAATTGCGAGACACGTGTAATACAGGAGTATGATCTGATGATGAATTCTACAATGTATCGGGAACATATTCCAATTTCAATATTTTACACACATAACATATATAATTTGACTTATCTACTAATTAATTACCATATTAAAAATTGAGGTATTTTTGGCAAAATTGAAAGTAATAACTCATTACTTTCACGTCAGCGAAAAACTTTGCTAGGTCTAAAATGAACAACATCGCAAGGGGTCCACGACACAAAAAAAAGTTTGGGAACCTATGATTCAAATAATCTAATAATTATTGCCAAAAGCATAAAAACACCATCATCATGAATATATTTTCATATTATAAAAAGGCAATAAATGCAGCAATGAGAAGTCCCTCAGCAACCCTTCAGCCTACATATTACCACCGAACTGATGTGTTGAAATAACACGAGAATATTTTGCATGCGATTTATAACTTTATCATCGTACATTGTGAATCGCATTGCAGTAACCCATTTAAAACTAACTGGGCTGAGATACTTATTACTCAACATTTTAAATATCTAAAAATTTATTTATAATTTATTTTATATGGACTTATTTTAGAAAAAGACCAATTTTTAAACATTGTCGTTCATCTCCCAATAGCAAGTAACAACGTCGTAAGAATCAAGATGGTGTCTGGTTATACATTTTTATCCCTCTACTTTCAAATATTGTTGTTCTTTAAATTCTTAACTTTGGTTTGGTTTTTGCAATAAGTTGATGGACCTGAGATACTTATATTACTCAAAATATTAAATGACATAATATTTTATTTGTAATTTATTTTATATGGACCTTTTTTAAAAGTGACTGACATAAGACTAAGCCCATAGGCAGCTTACAATAGAACTTTAAAAATAAAATTACAAATATACCACGTGTTATATCGTATAAGAACAACTCAATATTCTACAAATATGTCAAAATTTATTTAGTATGAATTGATTGCAAATTTTTAATTAATTAATTAAATAACAGATATCAACTTTAGGCTTTACATTTTAACGTAATAATCAAAATATAGTTCCACGAATCAACACATTCGACATGGAATAAGACAATAATTAGACAATAATAATAATTGATTATTATTGACTAATTACAATTAAAATTTGGAAAAATTCCAAATTATTATAAATGCTAATTCAATGATTATTCTTGTAATATTATAAAGTGCATCTTTCGCATGAAAATTTAGATCAGGCACTGACGTACTGTCAATTACAAATTTTTCCATGCATTTCCGATATTGTCACTTTGTAAAGGTTGGTAACTGGTAAACTAAACTGAACTCCTCTTTCGGGAAATTAATTTCAATATTACTCAATGCTTACCAGCTATTGCTCTATTCCCATCGCGTTTCTCATCTCATTGCCACTATGGGGCGCTTGAGTCTTTAGATCAGTTACTTGTCAAATAAACACGAAACCTTGTCTTATCATCTTGGAATTTGATGAAAGTCGGAAAAATTTAACAGGTGGCGTGTTTGTTTCTTTACAAATTATTATGTGATATTCAGATATAAAAGTGCTGTGAGAATAATAGTATCTCGAGAAAAATAGATGCACATTCAAAAGATTGGACAACCAGTCATGCTCTAATTAAGTCATTCAAAAAACTCCAAAATATCGGTTTACACGTATAACTTACATAAATAGTGATAGAGTAATATTGTATAATAAAATTTTTATGTATTAGTCTATATATGTATGTGTATGTGTTGATCTATGTAAATTACATATAAATTTGCATGTTTATTTATTTATATTTATTCAAATTCCGCCAATCCATTTCGATTTAAAAATATAGAATAAAATACGTTTTCAAGTGTGAAAAGCTCTTCTAGGACTTGGTAGAAGAAACTAATTCTATCAAATATAATAATCGAAAATATTACACAAATAAACAGGACAAAAATTGGTTCACCTTTTATTAGACAACTTTTCAATAAATGATAGACAGATTTTAATTCAAGTGTAAATAAAAATAACGAAAGTCTCATTGTTATTCGCTAAAATAAAATGCCTTATAAACTTCCTGAAGAAGATTTTATAGAATTTTAGCTACTTCATTCTTCATTATTTTTTATTTAATCAATGCTGCGCAGTTTAATTATTATGTTGAACAACAATATTCAAAATGATAACGTAAATATATATATGTTTAAATTCTTACTACTTTATAAATCTTGATTTGGTAGTAATTTTTCTTTAATTTATTATAATCAGACTCATTGATCTTGTAATACAATCGTTATATTAAATTGTTAAATATAACTTTGAAATACATATTTTATGGGCACATTTATATAAATATCGCACTATACAACTTTCGTATGGAACCATGTCAGAAAAATTTATCATCAGAGTTGGGATAACTTTTTATTTTATTTATAACTATTTATCTTGTAAAATTGTTTTTTTACCTTGTTTTACATTGATATTTACTATTTTCGTATTGATTACATGTTGTCAGTGTAAAGGTAAGTGATAATTTTTATTCCAACTGTATGTAAGCTATTCTAGAGATTATAGAAAAAGAAAACGGTTGAATCTAGCTTAAAAATATCGTAAACCAGAAACCGCTATAAAAACAAAGAGATCGCTATTCTCGTCACAAAAAAAATACTTTCGTTAAAAATTTGACGATGTGGCCGTTGATCTTTTGATTGTGATGACTGATTACACATCATTTTTCCTCTACTTTAGAATAGTATCATTAAAAAGACCACACTGTACTTGTTTTTAAGATAATGTTGGTGTATCTTTTTACTCCGGATAGTAGAACGCCTCTCTACCTTATTTAATATAAGTTTTAGCATAAA